TATAATATAAATTTTTTTAGGGTAAATGTGAGTGTTTAGGCATGAAACTGGATAAGTTGTATAGGTTTTAGTCATACCTGAAAAAATGTATATGAAACCGTTACGAGAAAGACACGCTAATAAGTAATAACAAAAGTAAGAAATTAATGTATGAATTAGTTAAATAAATACAGCAAATAAATAAAACCTATCAAGTAAATAGTTAATGTGAAAAGGATTAAAAGCGTTTTATTAAATTTAAAGTACATTACTTTAAATGCGCCCAGGTAACGACACGAGGAGACGTTTTGTTTCGTCACGCCTCCTTTTCAAAAAAAAAGTAAAAAAAGTGAGTCTTAAAATAATTTCTTTTATCTCTTTATTCTCACTGAAACACAACAATTCAATTAAAGCTTACAAATTATGTTTTTCTTTATAAAAGTGCTTACAAAATTGATTTATCGGTAAATGTTTGAAGAAGTTAGTGAGTCGTAGTGTCATTTCCTGTGACATCATGACAGTTAAACATAAAACGGGAAGATATATCATACTCAGTACGTGATTTCATTTATTACCAAGACAGCTTTCACAATTAGAAAAATTTAATGTTTTTAGGGTATGGTACAATCTTATCTTTCTGTAGAATATAGCTAGAGAGACACCGTATTTAAGACTTGTTATTTTTCTAATCTACATTTGGCTAGTTTTTTGTGTATTTTTACATTCCTCACAAGCCTGAAATATTAAATACCCTAGAACACTGTTTCACTATATATAAAAAGGAAAACTACCGTGAAGGTTATATTCCCTATATCTGTTGATAATTTTCAATTTAGTATGTTAAAATCGGCGTACCTTATCACCGAAAAGGGAAAATAAAAATGAAAATGTTTACACCAAAAAGAATGTGAACAGTATACAAGTATTAAATTATTTCCCACGTCGATATTATCTCATATTAAAAAGGAAAAAAAAATCCTAATTATGAATTATAAATAGTTTCGAGCAAGCCACCAGATGGCGCGGTTTAAATTTCATTAGGCTTATACAGATAGAGAGTGGCCAATGAAGGGGCGGAGAGAACTTTCAATTAATTTCTGACCACCGCTGGGTTATCAAAACTAAATACTTACCAGGATTGGATTGGATTAAATAAGGGGTGTGTTGTTTAGGTGTTATAGGCCTTTGTATATGCTTCTTCAAGTAGAGTCTTTTATAAAGTAATATGAATAATAAACAAATGAAGCTATAGATTCATAAGATTCAAAACTACAATTATTGTTTAAAATCGCTGTAGAGAGCGGGATAATAAAACAATCAACGCTTCGCCTTAATTATATATTTTCCCTTAAACGATTTTACTGAAAATGCTTTTTCAGTTTCGAGCCAATTATTAATGTTAATTCAGATTTAAAGGGTTTAAACTCTCATAACTGTGATGTTGCTATATATTTGCTTAGCATGAATAGTTTTATTTTGATATTTATATAATATATACAGAACAAAATTTATGTGTTTGTTATTTTGATGCTCATTCATTTCTTTTGTTTAACATTAAATAAATCTGTTTTGTAGAGATTTATCTAGTGATGTTAAGCTGTAATTAATTAAGCTGAGGAGTTATTATTATGCATAAATACAAACTGTGCAAGATAAGTTAAGATTTGACCTCAGGCTATCAAGAAGGGCTTAGTTTGTTTGGTTATTTGTTGTTAAACACTGAACTACACAATGGGCTATTTATTCTGTTCCCACGACGAGTATCAAAACAGATTTATAGCGCTATGAGCTCACAGATAAGGATTTGTTTTGTTTTTCGTTTGTTTTTTTTTAATTTCGTGCAAAGCTACACGAGGTCTATCTGCGCTAGCCGTCCCTAATTTAGCAGTGTAAGAGGGAAGGCAGCTAGTCATCATCACCCACCGCCAACTCTTGGGCTACTCTTTTACCAACGTCACATTATAACGCCCCCACGGCTGAAAGGGCGAGCATGTTTGGTGTGATGGGGATTCGAACCCGCGACCCGCAGATTGCGAGTCTAGCGCCCTAACCACCTGGCCATGCCGGGCCACACACACACAGAGAAGGGGCTAAATTAACTTTATAGAATATTACTTTATATTCACCAGATGGTGCTACATGTTAGTAGCACGGCTAACTTTATGAATTTTTGATGATTATATAATTTATAATAATACATTTAAATTGTAGTGTAACGTTATGACAGAGTAAAGATTCCATAAACGTAAATAATCTTTTATAAAATGGTGGTTTTATAACAGGTTTAGAAGTCCACCGAAACAGGAATATTCAGATATTTGATTCTGAATAAGGCGCTTCGCTTATAGTAGACTAGCTTCAAAGAATGTACTCATTAGAAAAAATAATTGTAACAAATTAAGTGGGTCAAACGCTTTGGTACATAGGCGTGAGCTTCGTCCAAGTAATTCTTTTAATTCCTGTGCGTGTTATTACTTGTTTTCATTACTTAATAAAACAACTCTTAAGTAAAATTATTAATCCACATATTTATTCAACTTCCACAAATTTACTATAAACACAATAATAATAACCGAAGTTTCCAATATAAAGGTGTAGGCTTGAGAACATACTACATTCAACAAAGTTAAACATGACGTATAAATATAAATATTACACAGTTTGTTTGCTAAACACTAAAATAGAGGTGATGTGTAAATAAAGTACGACATGTTATTTTCAGAATAGACATATATATAGAGAGAACTATGTAAGCTTTAGAAAACGGGACCCACTGAAAATTTACAAATGTAATTCCTGTGAATTAGTTTAATCAGAGCTCTTAATTGTGGTTCAAAAATAAAATAAAACTAAAATAACATTGGTTTCTTTCCGTTTTGTGTTTATAGGATGTGCCAAAGCTATTAAGTTAAACAATACCAATTGATGAAATAGTTCAATATATTGATTCCTGATATACATTTATATAAATTATATATTTTATATAAAGAATAAGCTCCTATAAAATCTAAAAAACTATTATATCCCAATGTTAATTTCAAGTTTATGGCAAAAACATTGCCAACACCACGGCTAAGGGAAATGTTCTCTGAAGTTTCATATTTCTATTTGGAATCTGATTCAAGTGATAGAAAATAGGTGGCGTTGGGAAAGTTTGTAATTTGTTTCATTATTTCAGTAGGCCTAAGCACGTGGTTATAACATCTTACAATAAATTACATTTTTATTCACAAATAACCATGTAACTATTTTTGCATGCGTCTAAAATTATCCAAATATTTTTTATTGATTGTAACTGATAAAAAAGAGGAAACTCATTTATATAGAATAAAAGTATTTGATTCTGCAGCACTCCGTCACGAAGAAATTAGCGATGACGAAAACTTTGGCAGCAATTAACTCTCATAATAAATCCCAACTATAATTTAACTAACAAAGAAAAAAAGTGCAATTACGTTTGTAGAGCTAACGAATTAAGACAATGTTACTTGTGAAATTAAACCCCTTTCTTGAAATTCCAACTTTTGCATCTTTTAAATAGATTTTATCGGATTTAGCAATAAATAAATGAGAAGAAAGGGAAATATTGAATCACTTCTATTAAATGACAATTTAAATCACACTAAAGTTATTTTTAAGTGGATTAATAATAAAAATGAATATATAAAAAATCATGCCATTATTTTATTATCATTACAAATTTGAAGGAAACTATAAAACAGCATATGATATACTTTTTTCTTCTACAATAGAAACATCCAGTATTTTTATTTTTTGGTGCAATTATTAATGTTACATTTACAGAATGTTTTTAAACAAGGAAAATAAAGACGATACGTTGTTTACACATGAGAATCAAGAAAATGTCCAAACCTGTCACCGACTAAACAGTTTCAAACAATCTGTATTAGCTAAAGTTGATATATTCGGTATAAGTGAAGAATGCTGTTTTAATGTGATAATATTTTATTACTAGTGAAATAATATTTAAAATATACTCTTATTTATAAAGCTATTTAAATTTGAACAGCATCATATTGAAACAATATTATTTTTCGTTATATGAATAATGATGCACCTAAATCCAAATCTTACGCTACTTTTCGTACGCGTAATGAAAGGTGATTGAGTTACTCTCAGACAAAATGTAAACTGTTGTTTTGTCGATAAATAAACCACACAAGGACAATAAACATAAATATGTAAGCGCATTTTTTTTATCAATAATTATCGAAATTATAATTAAAGGATAAAGAGGGCTATGAACACAGATATGTATTTTAGCATTGAGTGTTTTATATAGATCGTGGTTGCTTGAATTATGAAAAAGATAGATTTTTAATACTTATTTTGTAAGGCAGGACACAAATGATTTGAGTTTGACATGCCATTGGCTCAAAACTATTATCTAATGATCCACAGTAAACCTAACCTTTGCTATTCAAACGGTTGTTAATATTCAACGAACAGATCAAAAGAATATCATGACCAGCAGCGAAAAAAAAGAAAAGAAATATGTACATAAGACAGTGTTCTCACCTCTACCTAGCTCTTAGTAAACTAACTGCTAAAAATCATCTCACCATGGTCTAATATAAATGAAAGATCTATTTTTCTTTCTCCAAGTATATGCTTTATCTAAACTCAGTAAAGTTGTATGATCTTATAAAACAAAGCTTAATGAAACGTCGATTTAAAAATTTAAACGAATAGTTCAGGTCTCTTCTACGGATCTTCCTAGTTCTTCAACATAGGTCATATCAAAAAGTTAAATATTCGGCTTACATACCTTCAAACAAAATATCTTGATTCTTGTATGGTATGAAAATCAGTAAATTCAGATTTTGTAAAATATTAGAAATCTTAAAAGAACTAGACAATGTGGTTAACGTAAAAGAGTGATTTCAAATAACTAAAATATGAAGACAAAATAATATAATATATTTTCTTAGGTGGGTTTGTGAAATATAAATGTTACATCTTTACACAAAGTTTATAAAAAAATACATAACACGTCTAATTTTAACTTCTTTTAAGTGCATTTTAAATTATTACAGTTTTAGTTGTATCACAAACCAATTAAACAACTAATAAGCACTACCAGAAAAAATGTGAATTAAAGGATTATTATTAGAAAGCTAAAAACAAATTAATAAAGTTTTAATTGTTGGCAGTGTTCAATATATCCCCATTAGCACACTTTTCTCTAAAGAAAAGGGAGCCTATCTTTTATTTGCTTGAAGTGAATGGTTGGAATAGTGAACCGGTTCATTCAGACAAAAAAATAAAAGTTATCTTGCTTGATATTGCTCATAAGTGTCGATGATGCTTAGGCATCAACACATTGTCAATACAGTGAACAATACCATCTTTAGTCACAAGGTCTGGCTCGATAATATGTGCATTGTTGACCATCAAATGACCTTTTCTTTTATGAACTTTGACCATTTCATGTTCTGTATGGACATCATAGAAAAGACGTGAGCGGAAGGAGCGAGAGGACATCATGTTGTCTACCACATGGTTTTGTACAAACTGCAGGTGAAAGAACAATATACAATATTGTGTATAAAACAATATACCTCATCCTAACACTATAAAAATGTGAACAAATTGGACATCGTGAGAACTTCAACTTGAAATCGCTTTAGAAATTCTGCTTACTCATAAAGTATTTTCATCACAATATCAGCGTTTAATAATCATTTAACCTCTTTGGTAGGTTGAATTGGTACGATTATTTGAAAGCGTATGAAAGTAGAAATATAAAATGTATAGTAGACAAAGAAAAACAAATAACCAATCTTTTTATACAATTATTTTACGCATAAACGTGCATGCTAATGTTTTACCTTTTTCAGAGATTTTTCGTCGTTCATCAGAGACTCCATCTCGTGAATTCCCATTCGTTTGAAAGCCTTGTTTGTCGGAGCAAATATTGTAAAAGAAATATGGGATGGGTTTCGCCCATTACATTGCTTCCTGGTGACTCGAGAATAAACTTGTAAGCATATAGCAGTAAACATCGGGGTTCGATACCTGCGTGAATAGGCGATTTAAAGGGGCATTGTGTACTTTTGCGCTTAAACGTAAACAAACAAATGACTGCAGTGTAATTTGTAAATTAGGTTTTTTATGATGAATGTTAAAATGTAATACATTTTCGAAAATAATTTTGATCCTTTTTAATTTCATTTTTAGTCTACTATTTAATCAAATTCGAATAACTTGACACTGAGCATGCGCATATATTTACAAGTCTTATTGGCTCTGATCATACAAAATTAAATCTCTTGCTTCACATGATATAAAATAATTTGTTTAGTAAAATTTACACATCGTATTCAGTGTCTTCTTTATTTCGAAAACAGCGGTAATAACTTCTAAAGCTAGAATTGGTGTTCGAAATAACATAATATTTTTCGTATTTCTTCTTCTTTTTTCCTTAAGTATGTTTTCTGATGCTATTCGGAGAGTTCGAAAAGTTGAGCCAGAGTTTCTTTTTGTTAAACAGTTTTTTGTTTGTTTGTTGTAGTTAAGCACGAAGTCACACAAAGAGCTATCTGTGCTCTGCCCACAACGGGTATCGAAACCCGGTTTCTAGCGGTGTAAGTCCACTGGGGGGGGGGCAACATTCAACAGATAACTTCCTTTATGTTGAAACTGTATTTTAAGTCGCAGAAATAGCTAGGGAACTCAACAGATTTACAAAATAATAATAAAATCTTATCACAGTAAGATTTCAAGACAAAATTACAAACTACGTTTGATGTTTGAAATTTTGTTTAATCGATTATACTGTACGTTAAACTTAGGGAATAAGGAATTCTTAGAAATATTTGACTAAGAAAAGAAACATTAAAAATTTCTTCTTACAACGAGTCACATTATTTGCTCTTGATGTAACTACTAAAGACATTAGAAAATTTTATAATGGGATTTTTCTTGGAAAAACGCATTTACATTTTAGAGAAAATTTTAAAGACTGGAATTTTATAACCCATCATATTTTGGTTATAAAAATGCTTTAGTTATCAAGTATTTGGATTTTAGAGCAAGCAAACTCATTTCTACCCCTTGGACATAAAGGTCGGCACTGGGTTTTGATAAAAAAATAATGTCTTGGAAAATCTACTCTCATACGAAGGTGGCAGTGATTATTATGTGAAAAAGTTAACATATTAAGATTTTTTTATTAAAAATAATAAAAAAACGAAGGGTCTACAGAAAATTTGAAATCATTTTAGAATTTTAGTAGTTTTGAAAAAAATATACATAAGTTAAAAAACAAACAATAACAAAAACAGAATCACTAATCGACTTTATAGGACTACTCCAAATTATATATTTTCTCTAGCATGGCTGAAGCCAGCGTGAAAGAAGTAAAGGTAGGTAATGAATACTCGAATGTTTAGATCTCGATATTTTATACTGTTAGTTAAGTAAAGTTCCAAACAAATAAAATACAAAGAAATGCACTAATATTCAAATGGCTATCAGAGTTCAATTTATGGTGGCGACATTACCTCACTCATGTTGTAATTAAAATTTCAAATTACTACGCAACTTCAGTGTTGCTCGTCAACAAATAAAATTCAGGCACTTATTAAGTTTTACAAAATCAGGAGAGAAGATTAATTTGAGTAACAAAGGAAAGTTATTTACCAAGATGTTTATTTTCCCCAAAGGGGCCTATTTTAACTACTTGCACCACTATACAGTAGTGTGTTTTCTGTCTGTTAGTAAGTCAGTAGACACAAAAATGACGCCACAATTGTACTTTGAAATTTGTACTGTCGGGACGTCAGTAAAACATGCGCATGCCATGAATCACGAGAATAATTATGCACTCTTTAGGCTACAACATAGCATAAAATATGAACTTCAAAAGCAAAAAAGTAAAAATATTTCTTACTCTTAATTTTCATTTTAATTACCCTTGAAACAGAACACTTTTATAGATCCCACGAAAGAAGTACTTCTAGTATATATAATACATTCTTCTCTCCGATTTCGCAAGTTATTTCTTTCAAAGTTAAGTACCATGTTTACTTTATCTTTAGTTATTAAAAGTTACACGACTCCTTCCTCTCTCTGTTGTACAGTGTTACATCGAAGTATTTCGGACTACTGTAATTCGTACCTCAGTACCGATAAAACTTGAATTATATATGGTTGTTTTATCCTGGAAGATTTTGTAAACTGATAGAAATGTCAATAACCTCAACATGTTGGCCACAAACTAGATAAAAACAACTTGCACGCCATGAACTCACGATAGGCGGAGAGAACCGAGATCATGGTAAATCGGTGGCTAAACCAGGGTCGAAAGCCTTACCGTATTAATGACTTCACTAAGCATTTACTTTTATTATTATTAGCGTGCTGTTTTCTCATAATTACTTTAGTTCCAGTGTTTTAAAGTAATTAACTTCTAGAAAATACATCACATTTATATGACTTCCCTCCTTTGTCATTAGTATTTAAAAAAAAAAAAACTTTTGGGGAATACCATTATCAAGAAAACACACCGTGCCTAATATAATAGTGTAGATGCTAAGTAATGGGAGTATCAGTATGTAGCTTTTAGCATATTATGTTCTAACATGAATGCTAAGAGGATTGAAAGAGTTTTGTTGCTATGATTATTCTTATAACAAGATGTTTTATATATACACGCTTTTACACACATTTGAGATTTTTCAGCTTTTCAACTAAATTCATCACTTAAGTTTTATTTGCCTATCAGTGGAGTAAGAAACATTTCAGAAAATTTATACCGCGACTAACTACAGATCGATAAATACAGTTCTCACAAACAATTGTCAACTGGCCTTTGTACGAGATCTTAAAAAATAAGCTAATATATTTCACGTTAAAATTACTGTAATTGGTTTTGTTTACAGGAATGATAAACTCAATATAAGTGGACGATTTAAAATACGTGATTTTTTTGCGAATTTTCACGTTATTTAAGATTCGATTTTGAAAATTTAATAATTTTTCTATTGTTTTCTATTTATGGCAAAGCTACTAAGATTAGTGCCATCGTCCCTAATTTTTAACTTGTGGCTAGGGGTAAGGCAGCCAGATAGTAGCACCCTACCATCAATCATCCATGCTAAGGCAATTTCTGTCATTTTTATTACGCATTCACAGCTAAAGATGGGGGGGGGGGGATATTTTGTGGTATTCACACGGAACCAAACCGATATCGCCAGGTGTGTAGTACAGATCTCTACCAGAGAGCCAACCCGCACCCCCAAAATTTAAGAAACAAACTGGTTTAGGATGATTTTAGTGAAATCTGAGGCTAATAACTGACTCACAAGCGAAGGCGTAGGAAAACGGCTAGTGCAGTTCGTTAGAATAGGAAAAACGAACGCTACAAGTGTAATTATTGTACATATATTATTATGGTCTATAAAATAAAACAG